GGGTCACTGCCAGTTCCAGCCAAACCATTATTGCTTCAGCCAAACAGGTGAAAACTGGTAGGAAGCCATCACTGATACACACTCACCGAGAGTATTTATTCCTCATTCTGAAGCCATGGCTGAGTTGAACCTTAAATATGAGCCAACAGTGTGTGGTGGTAGCCAAAAAAGCCAATGAAATCCTAAATTGCATTAACAGAGGGCTACAATCAAGATCACATGAGGTAATAATACTACTCTATAAAGCCTTAGAGAACACTGCATCCAGTTTTGGTCACCATATTATAAAAAGATGCGGAGACTCTAGAAAGAGTGCAGAGAAGATCAACAAAGAATATTAGGGGCCTGGACGCTAAAACATATGAAGAACGGTTGCAGGAACTGGGTATGTCTCGTTTAATGAAGAGAAGGACTAGGGGAGACATGATAACCGTCTTCCGATATCTCAAGTGTTGCCACAAAGAAGAGGGAGTCAAACTGTTCTCCAAAGCACCTAAACATAGAAGAAGAAGCAATGGGTGTAAACTAATCAAGGAGAGAAGCAACCTAGAAATAAGGAGAAAGTTCCTGACAGTGAGTGCAATCAACCCATGGAACAGAAGTTTCCTTCAGAAGTCATGGGAGCCTCATCACTGCAGCCTTTAAAGAAGAGACTGGACTGCCATCTGTCAGAAATGGTGTAGGGCATGTTCTATCTTAAAAATATCTCCTTCCAAACTTTTTATTGCACATTCCCAATCTCTCCGTTTGAGAATTTCTGAAATTTTGCAAGACTTCGTTTTAATTACTCTAATATGAACCTGCTGTTTTTCCTATGAAATTCTAGATTAAAGAAAAGGAGTATCCCTTCGTTTTATTAAGTTGCATGTTGTGTGAATATCAGCCATATAAACTGTGAGATTAATGCACTGAGGGGCATCGTTATACCTAGAAATATGTAAATGAAGGTACAATTTCCCCTTTAAAGGAGCCGCTTGGTTTCCCTTTTCAGGCTACACCCAACCACGCAAAGTTTGTGCACCTTCCTCAATCCATTCCTATCCATTCCTTTCATTGGTTACAGGGAGCAAAAAATGATCCTGTGGCTGAATTTGGTGCCCTTCTTAGTCTTCCTTCAAGGTAGTTTTTTCCCCTCTTTAAAGTCTTTCTGTCCATATTCTCTTTTTGTATATAGAAGATTTCATTGAAACACTTTTCTTTAGGTGTCCGATGTGAGATCCAGTTGGTGGAGTCTGGAGGGGATGTGAGAAGACCTGGGGAGTCCCTCCGTCTCTCCTGCCAAGCCTCTGGATTCTCCTTCAGCAGCTATTGGATGTACTGGGTGAGGCAGGCTCCAGGGAAAGGACTGGAATGGGTGGCCCACATAAATGCAGGCTCATCTCCTTTAACTCGCTACCCACAAAAAGTGAAGGGACGCTTCACCATCTCCAGGGATGATTCTCGCAGCCAGCTGTATCTGAAAATGAACAGTCTCAAACTGAAGGATTCTGCTGTTTATTACTGTGCGAGAGACACAGTGAGAGGAAGCCAAGCAAAAACTATTTTTTTTCCTCCGAGCAGCTTTCTGAATAAAATCAGAAAGTCAAATTTCCATATTTAAAATGAGAAATGGAATTTATATCTCCATATACAATATGGAACCTCAGATCTGATCTTTTTTTGTGTGATTAATTAATTAAATTGCCAACAAGTACAAGGAAACAAGTATGTAAAGACATGAAAAAATCACACAAATGAATGTATATAAATAAGCAAAACATAGCCATAAACACACAGAAAGAGTACATATAAATGGGGAGAGTAGGACAGGGACGGTAGGCACGATGGAGTCTTTATGCACGTCCTCTTAGGGACCTCTTAATGAATGTGTAAGGTCCATGGTAATCAGTTGAAGGTAAAAGATATGGGGGTTAGAGGAACTAACAACAGGAACAGGTTCGGTGTTCTAAGAAGCCCTGTGGAAGATGATTGACATTTTGATAGGTGAGAAGAAGGAAATCTCC